AGGTGGGAACGCGACGGAGACGCGTTTGCTGTGGTTCCCAGACGCGTCTGCTGTGGTTCCCCTCAGTATTCGGTCTCCATCCCTGGTGAAGATAATAGGTCGGTTTGTCCAGATCTGCTGCCGCAGATCGCCATTCATAGCTAGGAACAATATACTATCTCATCGAAACCGAATAGGTTAGACATGCTCGCAGTCGTACCAAGTGCAAGACCGCCCATCTCATATTTTCGTAAAACCTTTGACGGTGACTCCGTTTTCGTTAATGTTAGTACAATAGTAGGTGAAGTGCACGAACCTTGTTCTGTTAATTTTCGTGTCAAGACATCTATCCATTAAAAATAATTAGTTGAAGCAAAAAACAGGAAGTAATCGGAACCGTTAAAAAAGGGTCCGAACGTAAAAGCAAACATTCATAATTCAACACAAAGTTAACTCCTTTTCGTCTTCACATACAATGCCTGTCTGCGGCAAATGTTTCAATGATCGTTAATTAAGCCATCTGTCCAATCTTCCAGTTGTCGGTAATTCGTCAACTTTTACTTCGCATTGGAATTAATGTTCTCAGACGGTGTGGTCTACTTGCGGACCCCGCTCGCTATATCAGCCCATACCTTACTTCAGCGTCGTTTTCTTGTGATATTCCATGTCTACGACGCACAATTATTACTTCCTTGGTGGTCTCTCTCACCTCGTACTTGTTCTGTTGTGTGTACATTTAGTTGTCAAGTCGTGTTAGCTGTAGGTTTTCATGGTCAGACTTCAAACTCAACCTGCGCTTAAATTGTTGTTATCCATTTGAAGTCAACCGGCATCATCTGTCACTTCGGATACATCCAGGTCAATGTTTGATCGCTTAGTCTGCCACTGAGTACATTATATTAATGGATATTTCTTTCCAAAATATCTGCATGCCGGGACTTTCTATTCTGTCATTCTCCACTTGCTTGGCTCATTTTTTACTACGCAGTTGTTCCATTTACCGGGGTAGTCAGTAAATCTCTCCGGTTTCATAATCTCACGGAAGTAGTTTTGTCGCCTCATATGTTGTTTAATCTCTCTTACTTGTCAGGTTTATACGCAAATGTCTGAACCGCAGCAGCTCTGTTTCGTCCCATTTGACACCGTCGTGGACACAGCTTTTTGGCATGCTCTTGCCAAACGAAAACTCGAGGACTACAAACTGCTGGAGGGACCTTTCCCAATCACGGCAGAGTTTACCAGTGGAACTGCTCCCGGACTTACACCGCGCATGAATGTCGATTTGAACAGTATACAGAACCCTAGGTTTGTTCTTCTCAGAGCTGTTTACTAGAATACCCGGGTTTTTCACTATGTCTTCCCGTTAGATATTAAATAGCTGCTCGGCTGTAATACAGTTATGAATTGATATCTCATTGAATTCGCTAGTTAAAATGATAAATTTGATGAATAACTTCGGAATTAACTCAGTCTTTTAGAAAATAACTTAATCTTTGACCAGAAGCTGGATCTTCTCTTAATTGGCTTTCAGACAATTCTGTTTCTTCAATTGAATCCCCGTTTGGGAGTGTAGGGGGGCATTATTTGTTAAGGATGGCATCGTGTAAAGCTGCTGAACAAGTCGTGCTTTGCGGTTTCTGTGATATTTAGATTTAATCTGCTTGCGTTTGCAGTTTTTGCCATTGGACCTTTTCGCCTTAGACCGTGAACGCATCGTGGCACCCGTCTCCGTAACATAAGAGCTTAGTTTGACAATTCAGAAACAAAAGTTCAATTTATTGTAAAACCCGTTCAACAAATCAATTCTTTAGACGAAAAACGGCAAGTTTAATGTTTAGGACTGTCCATACAAATACTGCATACAAATAAAGGTCTTGGAGTCGTCCTTTACTGACTCCAGGAGAATGGAACAATAGAAGCCATCGCAGTACCAAAGATCTACTGAGGCAGTTGCTCACTACAAAGAAAAAAATAGAATGAGAGAATATAGTGAAAGTGAATTTCTGAAGGCCATATTCTGTGTGCAATGGCTTAGTATAGGTTAGCAATCCCTTTGTATTGATTAGATGACCTTAATTCGTTCAAAATTAGCATCAATGTAGTTATTTCGAATTGGACAAAGTCAGTTACTGTAAGTCAAACTACTATATTTATCAAGTTAATAATTATTATTTGATTAACTCTTCAGCATTTCATTGGCTATATGATTCAAAGATCGATCATCCAACTAAAGACTCAGTTTTTCCCAATTCATCGGCCACTGACAACTTCCCCACCGACCGAGTTTTTATTGAGTCTTCGATTGAAGCTAATTTTAAACTAAAGTCTAAGTTACCTCCTTTGCTTCGACTTTCAGCAATACCTCGTCACGGTGCAGTAATTGTTTCCGAATAGAGGGCTCGCTTTTCACCCTCAATACCATAGACCAGTTCAAGGAGCTCGACAAGCAATCCTTTATTGATAATTTTGGACGAGAACAGATTGCGTCTGTTGTGACAGCCTCAACAAAGTTACCAGATAAAGCAAATCGACTTTTGCGATTTCTTCTTCTCACCTACTGCGTAAGCTACGTCTTTACTCTTCTAGTATTTTTGTATTCTCCCTTTTACTTAACTTGCATTTTTCTTGCTTTGAGCAACGTTTCTTAGTTCGAGTCACTAGTTTAGCCGTGAGAAGTTACGCAGCGCACCACCGCTCTCTGGTAGCATAATTGGTAACAAGCGCGTTAGCGTGTTTGTTATATAGCAGGCTTGCGCTCGTTTTTGGTCCAATGCCTATTCAAGCCAAATGATTACTGATGGGCGTTATCATAGTTGCCAGTAAAACATTATGGGTCAGAGATAATGTTTGTGCTTACCGGAGTGAGTTTATGTGTGCGCTGACGTTTCGAAGAGGTTGACCGGTTCTGCTTTTTCAAAGCGGGGACTGCCTTTATTTATCAGCAATTTGACCTTGTGACTGTACTTGCGGGCCGTGGGCTGATCGATTTTCCCTCGTTCGCTGCTTGATCCCTCGTGCAGATTTTGGCATAGGTTGACGATATTTAGTGTTGCGTTTCGTCTTTACGGCAGAGGATACTGGTGATCTTGCTTCCTTTTCCGGCGGGCTCGTCACGGGGCCGTCTTTGCTTGCAGTTCTTTAGTTCGGTTTGATCTTGTCTTGTCTTTACTCACGCAATAGCGTAGGACTTTGTAGGCCGCTGGAAGGTCTAGATACCTATTGACGGAGTTGGCATCTGAGTGCCATTCCTCAAGCGTCAGTTTTTCGCTTTTGAGGTTCCTTGTTCTGCGATAGTCGCTCCTTAAATATTAAAGCTGTGGCCAGTCTCTCCGATATGTGTTGCAATCTGCGAGTTTGGGTTTAGTCTCGGAGCCGCCAGTTCATGCTCGTGTGGGCGGGTCTGCAATTTTGGCCTGTTTCTCCAACATAATCGCAGTCCCCATCGTTGCATAGTATCTTGTAGTCAACTTCAGAGGCTTCAGAAGAAGGATAGTCTGTCTTTAGGTTGCATCACACGGTGTAATGTCGCCTGAGGTGGATGGGCTCCTAGTTCCATACTAACCCGGTCCATACTAATCGGGTCTCATAAGCAAGTTTCATATAAACTGCCGTAAGAAGGACCCGTTGCAGTCTGATGGTGAAACTTTGTGCAGCCAACTTGTATCGTTAACTAATAACCATCACTTTAACTCACTTTATTGAGGGAATAAGGCCTACGCCTTGAGCTCCCTATTCATATCCAGTAATCAACCAAACATTTAACTTTAAAAACAGTATATATAAAAACTATAGAGTTGACGTCATCGATATGTGTAAGCCAGTCGCAAACTGCCGCTACTGACACAATGTAAATTATATGTACAACAGTTCCTTAGCAAGTAAGAATCGAGTTTGTATTCAAATGGCGTGACAGTTTCTGAAAAGATCACTTCGTCAGGGAGATTCCGTTTCATGCTCCACTAATCCTCTACAAGAAGGCGTTCCGTCGAACGTCCATATGGGCCAAGTTACTCTGCAGTTTAAAGGGATGACCCACAGATGGTCCGCCCGAGCCAATTCGAAGAAGTCATCA